TAAGAAATATGAAGAAAAGGGGGTAAAATATGGAGAGAAAAGCACAAAAATCTGCCTGAATGGGATGAGAGGCAGTTTTCACGCAAAGGAAATGATGCTTTCAGCAACGAGCAAGAGTTCTCTTGTGAAAGCACACCTTTGGCACACACAACCCACTTCAATTCCTTAAATGGAATTCAACTTTCAAATCGAGGCACAGGACCCCAAAAGATACAGCAAATGAGCATGCTAACTAGGGGAAATATGAATTCAAGTTGGAATTCACGCACGGGATCCCCAAAAATTGCTAAATAAAACTACACCACCCTGGAATAATTTGAATTCAAGTGATAGGTTCCCAACAAATAAGCTTAAATTACCGTATCATCCAGCTAATTAATTTCAAAGGCTCCCCAAAAGAAAAAAAAGACAAGAGGTACCCCTTATATTGATCTTATGCCAATGCCATTCTACACTTACAAGCAAATTCCAAAAGGGTACGTAAAGGCACATATTACCATATAAGTCCCCTAAAAATGAAGAAACTGCAATAATCCTACACAAAGGAAGAAATACTAGTGCCATACCCATAAAACCAAGAGTACCAAAAGAAGACGGATAAATTGGAAAAATGCTATATAAACGTTAAGCAACACAATATTTCCTTCTAAAATACCCCAAAAAAGAGTAGAATGAACCAAAAACAAAAGAACCCCACGACTACTAGCATGACAAAGCCCAAGAGATACTACTACTACCCCTTTTCTCTTTTCTCTCTTACCTCCAAAGATAATTCCAGAAGACTCTAATGATAGCGACCCCACCAAGCCACAATAACCACATCCTACCAATGAATCCAAACATTCACCCCTCAAGCAGTATCATAACTGTGAATATTCAGGGCCTTGATAACCGAGAGAAACAAACCAAATTTAGACAAATTCATCTCTAAAGCAGAATCCCCAAATCCTTGTCATCGATGAAATCTAAGTTAGCCCTATAAACTTCTCATAAATCTTTGATAAAATATGATGAAATTGAAGGCACCAAATATAAGTGCATCTTACAAGGGACCTAACTTCCATTTTTTGCTTCTTTCCCTCAAGCCATACACATAAACTTCACAAAACCCTCCACATCTACCAGTCGTACACATTCAGCTATCTATGAAAAAATGACAGTATTACTCAAAAGTACCATTAATCTGAACTCTCTAATCTCATTCCCAACATCACCACAAAACTATGGTTAGTCTTCGGTGACTTCAATGGTCTGGGTTATGAGGATGAGAAAAGAGGGGTGCAACTTATCCCTACGAACCATAAAATCGATTTCCTAGAAACAATTTAGAACTTCATTCTTTTAGACTTAGGGAAACACTCCTAAAAGTATTCATAAAGATACAACCATGTAGGTTGTACCTCTATCTAACAAGATTAGCTTAAGTTTTGATTCTTAAGCCAATGGTCAAATTGTTTCCCAAACTCTAAACCTCCTGTCTACCTAGACCTAACTTGCCCTATAAATCTATCACTTATCACAACCTTATCCAACTCCCAATTGGGCAATTGATGGACTGGGGTCCGAAACCTCTCAAATGATTTAACATGCGGTTTGATCACGATGAATCTGAGGATATACACAATTGCTAAAGAGAAAAAATAAGATGTACAATGTTTACAGTGTAAACTTAAAAATTAAAAAATCCATAAAAAAGTGGAAGTAGGAAATTTTTGGCTCAGTTCATCAAGCAGCAAGGCAATTAGATAGCAAATTACATTTGATGCAAGATCAACTTGAAACTGAACCAACGAGCCTTGAACTTCAAGACGATGAAAGGAATCGTTCAAGCTTGCTTTCCACAGCACTCACTACCAAAGCTCCCTTGTTGCACTAAAAGTCAAGGCAAAAATTGACTTACTAAAGGTGACTCTTATACTAATTCTCTCCAAGACCATGACTTGAAATTTTCAGTTCATGGAACAATTAGAAACAAGAATGACAAATTTCTCAAGGAAGCCGCTGCTTTCTTCAACAATCTCCTCTATACCAAGCAACCCATCTTCACACTTGCCTAAAACCCCTATGAATCCTAAATCTCCATTGAAGAAAACTCCCTCGTTCAAAGGGAAGTGTCCATGGGATGGTTTCCCACCACAAATTGCAAAGATTTTGGCACATTGTTGGCTAAGAATATCCCAAGCCATAAAAGACACTTTCAAGGACAAACCATCATACAAAGCCTCAACTCAGCACTAATCATCACCATCAACAAGAAAAAAGGCCTCCCTCCATGCCTGATTTTAGATCTATACACCTTTACAATGTCATTTACAAGGTAATTAGGAAAAAATATTGATAATAGGCTGAATTCGGTCCTCAGCCATATCATGCACCCAAATTAAGGTGATTTGCTTTTATTCATGAACGGACTATCTTTAAGCAAGCCTTAATTGCTCCCATACTCATCCATAGCATGGCCAACAACAGATGTTAAAGTTCCTTTTGCCTCAAAATTGACCTGCACAAGGCCTTTAGTAAGTTGATTGGGATTTCTCCTAAATGAACTCTTCTCATAAATGAACTCCAAAAATTAAGGTTTTGGGGATACCTTGTTAATTGGATTAAAATGTGTATCACCACTCCCAAGTACTCTGTAATTCTTCCCTTTTGGTTATTTTAAAAGAAAAAATGGTCAAGGAGAGATGCTCTCCCCATATCTCTTCATCATGGTCATGCAATGCTTCAAAACAATTACTGAAAATGCGAAGAATAGAGGGTTAGATTTCAATAAGATCCTGGGAGTCACATCCATTCCTTCCCACCTTTTCTATATTAATGACCTTTTGTTCTTTGGAAAAACAAACCGACAAACCTTCCAGTCCCTTAAAGCCACTCTTGACTCATTCCACTCTCTCTCCACCCTACAAAAATACCCATCTAAAACAAATATATTATTTATTAACTCTACCAATTATGATAAAATCAAAATCATTGATCTTTTGAATTGCAATCCATCGGATTTACCTTCAGCATATCTTGGTTTGATATTGTTCAACGGGAAACTTATCCACCAACTTCGCCAACCCGTATTAGAAAAAACCATGTCTAGGCTTAAAGGTTGGAAAGTTGAAATCCTTTTATACACAAGGAGGCCTGCTCTAACAAACATAACCCCCGTCCCAATTACATTTCATTAGTATTTTGCTTTTAAACTTCTGTCTACCTCAATCGATACCCTTGAGAAGGCAGATTCGGCCACCTAGGCGGGCGCCTAGATACCAGAGCCTGTAAGTAAAAGAAGGGAGACAGAAGGGGGGAGGGGGAGGCTGCTCTAGGCCCCTAAGGATGAAGATATTTGGGGGCCTCTATTGGTTACCAAACGCCCATGATTGTGTGAATAGAACATCTATTTTCCTTTGAAGAATATTTTTTCATAGGTTTTTGTTTGTATTATTTTATTCCTCAATTTGAACATAAATATACATGGCTTTGAACTGTGAAATTGAATGACTAAAACATTAAATGAGTGCAAAATTGCCAAAGATTCCATCCATGTCAATTTTTCATTACAAGTTACATAAACGAAAAATAAAAAAAAATCCAAATAAACAATAACCAAATTGAAAAAGAACAACGAAATCAATACCCAACATTCATAAGCATTACAAAACCCTAAACCAAAAAATGAAATACACCAACTTCTCAAAAGCCATTCGAACTTGGCTCAAATTGGTGAACCTTTGGTTGCCAAAAGACCTCTTTCGTGACCACTTCAAGTCTCAAAAAGTATTTGATTGCATACTTTTCAATTTTGCAATAAATTGACAAGTTTGTAATTTTTTTTTAACTTCAAACAACTCTTCTTCTTTTATTGGGTGTTTTTCAAGCTCCAAATCAACACAAAATGCCTCCAAAACCCTCTCTTTCTTTTTGCGCGGGAACCTTGGCCGAGGGCTTTTTCCACCCTCAGCCGAGGTGAATCCTCAAGCCGCCTATGAGGGAGACCAGAGACATAACCACTTAGGGCCCCACCTAGGCCCTATTCGGTGTGGTTGGCTCCCTAGACTGCCTATGTGGCCAGGCGGCCAAATTTTTCATCACTAAATGGCACATTCATATTTAATGGAATATTTAGATGAGAATTAGTCATTTAAAAAGTTCTATCAGGAAACAACCCATTATGATTAAAAATAAAAAATAATGGTTTCGTTTATTATACAAAAGTGATTTACATCTCTCAAATGATGGAGTTTGGGTCTGCAAAGTTGGAGAGAATATAATGCTGATGGCAGATGTAAACCTTTTGGAATTGAAAAAGGAAACTTATCACTCATGTTTGATTGAGGAAAATAGAGAAAAACCCAGATGTAGGAGCACCAAGTTAGAAACATGGTATTCTTAGAATACATATTCTTCTTATGTTTGCAATGAAACTGAATGTCCATGTGATAGAAGAACAAAATATTTGCATATGGAAAATGCAAGGATCCCAAGATAATTCTTTAAACATGAATATGACTCACCAATATTCAATCCATCAATGAGAAATGAGAACCTAATTCAGTATCTCCTCCACCTTTAACCAAGAATCATTCACCCTATAAGAGGTACATATTGATAAAACTAGTACCTATTGATAAAACTTTCTTTCTTTCTCCACAAAGAAGAAAGCCCACTAAAAAAGCAAACATAGGGGAAAGTTACCTCTATATCAGAATTCTCACAAACAATAAACTCAAGATCAATAAATGGAAAAGAAAATCATGACATCCGCAAACGCATGCATAAAAGAGAAAGCCTAAACTGGGCATCAGTAATCAGAGGTTTCCTAAATGAAATTAACATCAATTCGAGGTTACCAGCAACTCATGCTCTCTTCATCCATAGAATTCATAAGAAGAAAATGAGAGAGTATCTTACTAAAAGAAGAAAAAGAAAAAAAAAAAAGAGAGATTGCGGAAAGCATAAATCATAAAATATATAATCTTCCAAGAAAGGAGAGGAGAGAAGATGGGTACCGCTTGGAGAGCAAGGGAGGGCTTCCCTTGGTCGATGAGCTGCCGAGCCGATGCAAGCAAGCCTCTTATATTCTCTTCATTTTCGCTTAGCGGCAGTGCATTTTGGTCCCCTCCTCCTCCTCCTCCTTCTCCAGGAGAAGGAGGCTGAAAATCTTCGTCCATATCCATCACCATATGTGTATTTACACACTCAGTAGACAATTATGCCAGTCTCTCTGATGCTCTTAAGCTGGGTGGGCGAGATACAGCAAAGAGGCAGGAGAGGGATGAATACGATACATACACATATGTTTCCTGCGCACCAACGATTTGATTTATTGCTCGGCTTTCACAATCCGGAGTGGTTACACTCGATCAAGTCATGTATAGGTTGGCTTTAGATGCTTCTAGCACGTCCTGCTGCCCTCTCCTTCATTTCCATTCCATCTTAAAACATATAGGAACATGAATCAAAACCTTGTTATATCAAACATTGGTAATGTTAAAACTTATCTACTCAAATAAAACTTGTTTGAATTGCTTCTAAGTTATGCAAATTTTATTTTTTGTATAACTTGATTTACTATTGCCGGCAGAGAAAAAACATATCAAACTTGAAATTTTAAGATAGTTTCTCTCTTTAAAAAATTTGAGATAGTTTCTTTATTTAAAAAATTACAATTTGATATAGTTTGTCTCTCCAAAAACAATTGAAACAATTTCTCTCTCTTTAAAAATTTGAAATTTGAGATAATTGATAATTTTTCTCTCTAGGAATTTTGAGAGTTTCTATCTCTAAAAATTTTCAATTAATTTATCTCTCTAAAATTTATTATAGTTTATCTCACGGTTAGGATACTTTCCCTCTCTAAAATCTAACATTTGAGATAGTTTTTCTAGAAATTTTATGATAGTTTCTTTCTCAAAATAAATTTTGGTACTTTCTCTCTCTAAAATTTGATAGTTCCACTCTCTAAAATGTACAAATACTTTATCTCTCTAAAACTTGAAATATGATATAGTTTCTATTGGGTATTTGTGACCATTAAAAGCCTTATGAGTGCTTGTAAATAAACTTTTAATATAATGGAACATGAGCTCAGAAAGAGTTTGGTCCTGTGTGGACCATAAGAAAGCAAAAGATATTTGTTGATACCGAGGTGAGCTTGATGAGCTGGGCCAGTCGGTTGGAAAAAAACTTATGTTACTTGTACATAGAGATTAAACCGATAAGGGTTATAATGGGTCATCCCTTGATAAAGTCAGAATATGCCCACATGAATGAGTCTAGGGATTGTGTAGCCCTTTTATGTGATGGTGGTCTTCAGAAACGGGTCACGGCCTCATCCACGTGCCATCACATAACATGCGCATATGATAGTCATTTCAAAAAATTGAACCACCTTTCAGGGTGAAGCTTGTGTATGTGTGAGAGATTACCCTTATGCACCATAGAGTGGTGGTCGCATCAGGTCTAGGTGACATTGGTATATCTCTAGGGGAGAACTTGAAATCCACAAAGTGGAATTACGTCTCATTGCCCATTGGCTGACTTTGATGACCCACTAATGAGCCCCTACAATGGATTGTGGGTCATAGAAAATACTGAGTCAATTTAAGAAAGCAAGTGTGGACCGTAATCCACAATAAAAAGTAGAGTGCCCCATGTTTGTTTATTTATTCTTATACTATATGGATTCATTTCCTAGCAAAAGTATTTGATTATATTTGTTTTAATGATATTTAATATTTAGAATTGTTATTTGAATTTTTAAGAATCTTTGGGTATTTTATTTATGAAATTTGGATTTATATTAACAAAGATATTGATTTTACATTGATTTAAATATTCAAATGGGATTTTATGAAAGTCTAAAAAATCATATAATTTATTTTTAAATATTTTAGCATTACATGACAAACCTAATAATATATATGGGCCCACCATGGCAATTTGGTGGGGGCCATAAAAGCCTCCATAGGGTGGCATGCCCCACCCCTTGCACTTTCTATTTTATTGGATCACGCATCATGGCTTGAGGGAAAAGACAATAGATTTTTGGAAAGCTTGATTTTGAGGAAGCTTTGAGATCAATATGAAAAGTATGAGGAGGCTTACATATGAAATTCGCAAGTATAATATTATTATAGAAATTTTCGTATTTAAATTAATTTATGAAAAATGGCTTAGGAAATGGGGGATAAAGTTTCTAACACCTTTCATGTAAGGACCACAATTCTTCCTCAGCTCAGTGATGCGCATGGCAATGGAGGGTGACGCAGAGGCCTAGCGCTTGTTGAAGCATCGTCGTGCGTGTATTAGAGCTTAGCACCATCTATGGTGAAGAAGCGGATGAGAGAGAAAAAGAAGACACAACGCTGGCTGTGTAAGTGACCCATCGTCATCTGAGAATGCAAACCTAGCGTCAGCTATGAAGCGAAGGGCTTAGCACCACCTGTGGACTATCACTGGCTGTGTAAGAAGACGTAGTATCGGCTGTGTAAGAAGATGTAGCACCGGTTATGTAAAGAGACCCATTGTCAGTTGCGATCCAACACCGTCTGTGAAACGAAGAGAGAGCAACACTGTGTGTGAACTGAGGGCAACGCCAGGAGTGTCTCTGTCAAACGTGCGGTCGTCGTACATGTCAACGTCGCTCCGTAAATGTTAGAGTCGCGTGACAATATTTTCCAACCACTCTTCCCTTTTTAAGCCTTCCCCTCTTCAGGCAACCCGTTTTCCCTCATTCTTCCACCTCTCTCTCTCTCTCTCTAGAAACCGACTGCTGCCAGCCAACAAGTGAAGATGGGGGGGAGAAGCTAGGGAAGGTCGTGAGAGGAGATTGAAGCCATTGTGAGGGACCAGGTAACTGGGTCTAGTGGCATGCATCATTCAACCACATAAAGATTTAATTTCAATAGATATGAAAAGTAAGAGAATAGAATGAGTTGTATGAGTTTGAATGCATTGTGATGAGCTTGAAATCTCATACGCCATGATTGATGAACGCTGTATATGGTTTTAATTGTGGTGGAAGTGTGCGACGTAGTTCTCTTGTGGGATTAGTTTTGTATGAACTTAGTTTTGCATCAAGATTTACTTTGGCTTATGATGTATTGAATGCTCTCGAATGTATGCGAAACTTGAGGGTGTGAATTTCTAGAACCATGATTCTTCTTATACAGCACTTTTCAATAGCCAAACGATGTCCAAGTTTCAAATGAAAAATATGCTTGTCTATTTTAATCACGCTTTTTACACCATTTCGAAATTATGCATGGACCGAGAGATGAGCTTCAAAATGTTGGGGCATGTCACTACCCACAGCCGGGGCAATTTCCAGCAACTGTGACTCTGTTTGTGCTGTACTTTTGACCTATCAAACGATTCCCGAACATCTTCAAACCACTGCCGTTTTTAAGATCTATATGTAAGTGTTTATGATGAAAATCTAACAGATCTTCCGATAAAGATCTCTCGGATCTTGACACCTTAAACTGATAAAAAGATGTGGTAGAGAAATTGGGATAAATCGAATTCAGATATGAGGCCAGATCTACCTGGAAACGAGCAGATCTGCTCTTAGATCTGTGGCAGAGCTAGCATGATCCAAAGCATTAAAAACATGAGTTTTAAGAATATTAATCGCAATAAGATCAAAATAAAATTAAAACAATAAAAGAAGAATAAAAAGGGAAGAAAACGATACCGAACAAGGCCGAATGGCCCGGGACTCCCGAGCCTTCGAGGGCTCACCCTTATTAGCACCAGCGTCCTCTTTGCCTCTCTGATTTAGATATTGACCAGCAAATCTCTGATGTAGAAGGGTTGTTATGCCCTAAGGATAGTTTAGATCTAGGATTGTACCCTAGGTCTAGGTTTTTCAAACTCAAGGTTAGGGTTAGGGTTTTCTCAACTAGCTCTGTTCTAGATTTTATCTCTTTTTCTCTAGGGTTTCAATCTTTTTGAAGCCAACCCTCAAATGGCCACAAAAAGACGTCTTACAGGGATTAAGGATAAGTTCCCATAACCATCAGATCCTCATTCAATAAAAATTGTTTTTGGGGGTATGGATCAGGGAGACACGCCTAGTGTCGCCCAAAAAATATTGGTAAAAATCATTAAAAAAAAGGTAGGAGAAACACTTCCAAAAGAAACTTTCCATTCTGGGCCAAAATGGTCTGAGCGACACCAGTGGTGTAGCTGGGCGACACTGCTAGTGTCGCCCAAACCAAACAATGTCCAAATTGAATTTTTTTTTTTACTTTGGGTGTGTTCCTTAGCCTCTTGTGAAGCTCTCAGAGAAAATTTGGGTCAAAACAGATTTTTTTTACTATTTTTAATTCTTTTTTGGTAAAATAGGGCGTTTAAAGAATTCTGGGTGCAGGGTTCTAGGTCACAGAGTAGGCTGTGTGAACTATGGATTTGGGTTTACTAAGATGAGTGTGTTCATAAGGGTTCATGAAACCGCAAAATTTATCAAATTTAAAATGGGGTGTCTACAGTTACCCCTCTTTGGCACTCCATGTCCTTCGAGGGACAGGTGAGTGGCAAAGAATTAGACACTTTGGCGTTCCTTGTCCTTCGAGGGGCAAGTGAACGTCAAAGATATTATAGATATTTTAAATTTCGTCTTGAAGTCACGTGATCAGAGGGCACACCAACTAATCCCTTCAAGTCATTGTGCTCACTGAGCTCACCTACCTAGGGCATTTTTCCTCTTAGGGTTTTCGGCGTGAGATGTCAATAAGTTACACAAGCTTGAAACTCGAGGTGGATTTTTTAGCCATGCCCCTTAACTTCAGGGGTTTTACAGTTATAAATTTCTAACCCTAGCATCTTCTTTTATTTCCTTAGGGTTTCCTAAGACTGTTTATAGGAAAAGGCTTTCTATGAGAAGAGACTTGTATGGCTGATTCCGAAGAGAGAGGCAAGGCAGCAACATGGCAATCGCGACAACGCGGTACTCATCATATACGGGTGTCTAGACTCCTTCATTTTAAAAAGTCTTTTAGAAATTTTGAAAGTAGGGAGAGATTTGAATTAGAACCCGGAGCAAAGACAGGTTACAATTTTAACAAAAAAATTAAAGTTTTTGAAAACACAAGACATATAGTGAAAATTTTGAAAAGAGAAAGATATGTCGAAAAACAAGGTTGGTTAGCAGTTTTAACTCCTGCAACCATAGAGGCCTCTAAGCAGTTTAGCGTCATGCAGCGATGGACCATACACCCGACCCTTTTACGTCATACAAGGCTAGATGGAATACACCCGACCCTTTTACGTCATACGGGGATAGACAGAATACACCCAACTCTTTGACATCATACAGGGATAGATGGAGTACACCCAACCTTTTACGTCATACGGGGCTAGACGGATCACACCCGATCTTTTGTGTCATACGTGGCTAGACGTTACCTGCCTTGGCTCTTTTACGTTGTGCGAGT